GTTGGAGAGTGGTAACCACCTGGGGGCTTCTGGGCTGGGGGACTGCGGAGGACCCCTGGCTCTCTGGTCTCAGAGGGGCCTTCTTCCCTCGCTCTCAAATGAGAAGTGAGGAAGAGAAGACAGGAGCTGGCTGGCCTTTGGAATGAAGCTACAATGCAGCTATTTCCATTCTATTCAACAAAGCTTGTGTGAGTGCTAACCATGGGCAAAGACTTTCAGAATATTCTGGTGAAAGCCCTCATTTTGTTGCCTGAGAGGGAAAATGACTTGTATAGGCCACAGATAAGTGGCAGAACTGGGTGTGGGATCCAGACTTTTTGACCCCAAGCACAGGCTCCCATCATGGGAGTTTACAGATGAGTAAACTGAGGCCTAGACAAGGGATGGGACTTCCACGGCCTCTACTTGTAGCAAGGAAAGGAAAATAATGAAAATACTGCTCGTGTGTGTCTGAGGACCGAGGAGAAGGGCTCCCAGGGGGCCTCAGCAGGGCCTCTTAGCTGCCCTGCTGAAGAAGGAAGGAACGAGCAAGGGAAGGAAGGAGAGAGGGAAGGAAGGAAAGGAGACTCAGGGCCAGTGCTCTCTCCCCACAATCCTCTGCCCTAACCTACAACACTCTTCAGATGAATTAGGCTCTGGGGCTTCAAGGAGTCTGGTTTCTCCAAAGAGCTCTTGTAAGAGTGGGTCATGTATATCTGAGAGAGGAGGGGACTTACTTCCCTGGAGACTAAGAGAGAAACTGGACTAGAAAGGGGGAGAGGAGGGAGGGATGAAGAAAATAAGACCATCAGAGTCCAAGAGGGTGGAAATATCCCCCCAAACCATCCTGTGCCAGCCACCTGCCCCGTCGCCAGTCTGGGGCAATGGGGTGGGACAGTGAGGAGCCAAAGGGTCCTCTCCTCTCCTACCTCAGTACCAGATACAGTGCAGTCTCAGCTAGGGTCAGGGGGCAAGAACAAATGCTGTCTGTCAGGCAAGCTGGCCAAAGAGTTCCCAATTAGCACTTGTTTCCCATTCTTAAGGGCCTGAGCCCCCAACCCCAGCACCCCAGCCCAATTACTGCTGGGCAGCATTAACCCCTTGGTGCCCCAGGCCGTTAATGGAATGTTAATTGGTCTAATGGGTTTCATGTCAACAAGTCCTAATGAGCTCCTTCCTAATGAGCTTGGTATTTTTTTCTAAGCCTGTTTATCAACACACTGGAGTTTGGGCTCCAGACTGAGGGCCTCTCCATGCAGGGCTGGGGAGCTAGAGTGAGGAGACAGAGGGAGCGGGTGCTCTTGGGCTGCCTGTTCCTCCTTCCTAAAGGGATGTCCTTTCATGCCCCCTCAACCACCCCAACCCACGCACACCGCCTCACTCAGCTCCTGAGCTCTGTAAAACGGCATTTTTAGCTCCTTTTGGTGATAATATCAGTGACACAAATTATTTGTTCTTGGATGTCATTGTGGGGTTGAGTGTTGCATTAGGTTGTTTTTTTTTTTTCCTCCTAGCTGTCATATAATAAAGGTTTTCAGCATTAAAAGTCCTTCGAGGTGAGCCTCTCCTCAGTGGGAAATTTCCCTGGTAAATTGTTCCTCCTGTGTCCTCCATTTGCAGTCTTGGCTGTGCTCCCTCCAGTGCCCTGGTGTCTGGTAACAGAGTGCTGGGGCCTCTGGCCAGGGCAGAGCAGCCTCCCCAAGCCACTGACACATGTTCAGAAGCCCGAGGCTGGGTTTCTGGAGCTCAGACCTGCCACTCTCCTCCCTGCTCCCAAAGGCAGTGCAAAAAGCGCAGGTTTTCCCAAAGGGCCCAGCACCTAGCGATTGCTCAGGGAGTTCCCCCCACCAGCTGTGGAGTCTCTGACAAGAGAAGTCAGGTCCCCAGATTCCTCTCCAGGTGGTTCCACAGCCCCCAAGCCTAGCTGGTGGGGTTCCCCACGGATGCAGGTAGTGCATGTGTGGGTGGAGTGGTGTGAAGAAAATAGCCAGCTTCCAGAGATGGGCACCCCGCCTCCCCCAGTGTCAAGTCACCAGAGGCTTCTGTGCCTGAGTGAGCAGAGAAGGGAACTTAAGCCCCTGATGAAAAGGCCTCCTGTTCTCTTGCAGGAGACTGTGCAGGGGATGGCTCTCCCTGCACGGAGGCTGGGGCCTCAGCTGCTTCCTGTTCTCTTGCAGGAGAAGCCCCCAGAGGGCAGTGGAGCAGTGGCCTAGTGGCCTGTGGTGACCCCAGTGAGGGGGAGGGGGAGGGGCAAAGGCCATCTGGTCCTCAGAAAATTGTTCCTATGTCCTCTGGGAGGCGGGTCTGGCCCCTGCTCCAGAGCCCAGCGGGCTCTGGACTGAAAAATCTCCTCTCAGCCTGTACAGTGGTTGTTTCTGGATGCAGACCACTCTTAACCATTCCTCCTTATCCCAGGCAGGGCAGCCCTCACGCTGTTACAAATATTTCTAGGGACAGTGACTCTACAATAACTACCTTCCAGTCATTGGACAGTGAACAAAAGAATGAAGATTAAAGACTCCTCTGTTTAGCCCAAATCCTCTTCATTGAGCTTCCTTTGCCTTGCCTTCACTATGACTTTCTCATCCGTGGAATGAGGTTACCAAAAGACGGAAACCCGAGGTTAAAGGGAACTGGTTGCCCCCAAGATGGGAGAAAAACTGCCTAGGAGGGAGTTCCCACCCCAGACTCTGCCCCCAGGCTCCCTCTTCTGGAGGCTGCTGGCACTGCAGCCCCACAGCGGCTCACTTTTCTCGGACCAAGGATCATCTACGATTGGCGCTCCAGGGAAGGGGTCCTGAAGGCAGATCCTTAGGCCCCAACCAATGTTATCTCATTTGCCACAATTCCAGGAACAGCTGAACCTAAAACACCCCTGAAATATCTCTTTTTCCTTTATTCCCTCAGGGTCCAAAAGAAAGATTCCACACCCAATTTAATATCTCAAAACGCTAAATTCTGGAAGTTCTTTCTGATGTCTCAAAGAGTCTGTATCCTCTTTTTTTTTTCCCTCTGGAACCCTCTTCACTCTACTCTTGCCTTCCTTGATGTTTACGCCACCCAAACAAAAACGCAGCCATGGAAGTAGGTATTAGTCCTCTGCCTGAAGAGATTGGCTCCCCTCAGTGCTCCCTTCTGAGCCTCCCTACTTCGCTCTTTGCGAAAGTAAAGCCTGGATCTTGGTGTCCAGTGTATGTGAGAGGGGGAGACCCTGAGTGACTTTGTTGCAAAGACATCATGGTGGCCCATCTTCTGAGGAAGGCCAGGGAGGGCGAGGGAGATGTAGCAGTGAGGCCAAGGGGAATTACCTGCAGTCCCGGTGTTTTCAGCGCAGGAGAAGTCCTCTCTCCCAGTGCTGTCTCCTCTGGAACCTCTGTCTCACTTTCTTCTTTCCTGCTGGACTGTCATCTCCCTCTAGTAACAATGCTCCTTGGAGAGACAACCTTGCCTCCTTTCATCTATCCTCCCACCTCCCCTAGCACAGTTCTTTGCACGTAGTTGATACTTGATAAACATTGGTTGAACGAACACCTGAATTTCCAGTGCTTCCACATGTGCACTTAAGGTCAAAGCAGACCTGGGACTTTGGAGACTCAGGTCAGACCAGTGCTTCTATTTCCTCCTTTTCTTGAAAAAGAACTGAAACACAACACACATATACACAGACTCACACACACACACCCTCATAGGGCGCTGGAGACCAGCCCCTTTCCTTAGGCAGCTCCAAAACAACCTCAAATTCCCGCAGAATTCAAGGCTGTGAACATTTCGAAGGACCCTGGGGAGGGGGAGGGAGAGGAGAGGGGAGGGAGGGTCTGAGTGCTGTGCTCCCAAGTGCCCTCCACCCAGGAGCAGGACAGGTCCCGCCCCCCACAGTGGTTCACAGGAGTCTCCATGCCCCCTGAGCGACGGGGCTGCCTCTGGCAACTAGCCTGTGGTTTCCAGCTCTAAATATTTCAGGGCACCTACTGTAGCTAAACAGCTCTGGGCATTCTGTTTCCTTGGGTGGCACTGCCAGGCTGTCTCCACTTACAGCACCACGATCTGGTTCAGAAGAAACCTTGATGCCCAGTGGGAGCAGCGTGCTTACTGGTGATGGGGTAGGGGTGGTACAGTGGAGCAGACCGGGAACTGGGAATCAAGAGATTTTGGTCTGATCCCTGCTTCACTAGCACCACTCCCACCCCATACACACACATCACTCCTCTTGGCCTCCATCTCCTCCTCTGTAAGAGGGAGTGGACCATTTGGCTCTGACGGCTCTTCTGGCCCCACGTGACTGTGACTCTATATTGAACGAAGGCTAAGGGAAGGCTTCCTCAAAGAATGTGCAGGCACATCCATATGCCCATAGTCACAAGCACACACCTAGAAAGTGCTCACTCGGGCACTTGGATGTTCCCCCTGCTTCTTTCCCTTCCCGGAAGATCTCCAAGTGGTTACCGTGGGCTGCTTGCTCCGCACCCTCCAGTCTGAGGTGGGGACCAGCGCCCCCACCTCCCTTTCCACCACTAGGGGGTGTGGTGAGCTCACCTGGGAGGGGTTAGTCTGGAGTTTGGAGACCCTGGAGCCAGAGATGTGTAAATAGGAACTAGATGGGCCTGAGGCCTCCTGCCCCTGAGAGTGCAGGTGGCTGTTCCGGAAGTCCTGGGGAAGGGAAAGCACCCTTGTCTTGTGGGGTATCCACAAGATGGCCTCCAATCCCCTGTGCTGCCACCAGCCAAGCCCCCTCCCAGCCTGCCCCCACCAGGCCAGAGCTGACGCTGAACAAATCATGGCTGGGGTGTGCAGGTTGTTTTATGTATGATTTGAACATTGTTCTTTCAAGTCAAAATAGCACAGCATGCCCCTCCCCAGCCAGGCCTCTCCCCTCAGCTCTCATTTGTTCCCCTAAAGGGCCTCCAGCCCTTCTGTATCCAGTCAGTCCAGGTGGCCCAGCCTGAGAACACGTCCAGCCGGCTGGTCCCCAGGGCTCCCTGCGCTCAGCTATTAACGGTGCGGCCCCCTTTCTCCTGCCACAGATCCTCGATGTGAATCAATCCCATGATGCAACATGCCTCCCCAGCCCCTGCTCTGACGATGATGGCCACGCAGAATGTCCCTCCCCCACCCTACCAGGACAGCCCGCAGGTGAGTGTCGACTGACCAGACGGGGAAGGGGGTGCGGTGGCCTTCCCTGGGGCGGAGGGCAGGGCTAGGCCTCCCTCAGCTATGTCCTGGCCGTCTCTGGGCTCTTCCCGCATCGGGCCTGGGGGGGCTTGTCTGGAAAGCCTAGCAAACACAGACCCCTGGAGGGAGCCATTGCATTTGACACAATACCAGGTTCAGACCCTACATGGGTCACTCTGTCGCCAGCACCTAGGACTGTTGCCTAGAGCACCTAGTCGTGGTCCTGTCCCCACCCCACCCTGCTTCAGGGCAGAGCAGACGTCAGCCAAACACACCCACTGCCTCACTTGGGGAGATCCAGGAACAGGTAAATCGTGTCTGCCTGTGAGTGTTTTGGGAAACTTCTTAATTAGAGGGTCCTTTGTACTGACCCCCCTATTCACTCGTCACTGGACCCTTACGTCCAGTCCTTCTCTATCTGCCTATTGGAGGAAGCTCCCTTCTCTTCAGATGTCTGCTCGGCTTCTCTACAGAAAAAGGCCAGGACTATTTCTGTATACCCTCCAACCCTTTCCCTCTGGTTCCCAGCTCAGACACAGCAGCCCCCAAAGTTCTCCTGCTACTCCCACCTGGTTGCAATTTCTGCAGAAGGCACTGGCTTCACCCTGTCTTCCTATTGTCTCTTCCTCCTTCTGGAAGCCTAGCCCAGCTTTTGTGGGTTGGGCTCCCACAGTCCTTGAGAGGATCGCTTCTGCTCTTTGCTTCCCCCATGTGGGCCTCCCCTCCAGACTTGGATCTTTTGAGACTTGGAGTTAGTTACGTGGCTGTGGTTTCTCGGAAGGCTCCATTCTCTGATCTTTACCTTCACACGCTCCTGTTTTCTCTACCCTGGTGTCCCAAGTCAATATTAAATCAAAAATTATTTATTGAGCAACAATAATGTAAAACGCAGCCAGCTAGAATATTCATTCATTTAACAATGTGCAGTGAGTGCCTACTGTGTGCCAGGCAATCATCCTCACTTTCTCCAACAGCCTTCTCTGACCTGCCCAGATATCCCTCACTCGTTAGCCTTTCAAACACATCCCTTCTCATGGACCACACAGAACATCTGTGCAGCATGGAAAGGATATTAAGATGCAGATGTAGGGTGGGCAGACTTTTGCTCACATTAGGTCTCATGGCCCTGACACCCCCAGCCTAGTGGGAGCATAGCTGTTCTATTCATCCTTATTATCCCTCCGTGAAATTAACCCTTCACAGTGTCTGGCATGCGGACCACCACTGACTCCTCTCCCCTTGAAAGTCCAACAGCACTCGTCATTCACCGACCTTTGAGCACGGGACCTTTTGTTCCCCCCTCCTGCTCCCACATATCAACTCCATGCTCCTTCGTAGGCTCTCCCCAACCTAACCTCACATTTGGCAAACCCTCTGCCCACGTCAGCAGCTCCATGAATGACCACGGGGTTGGGCTTGGCATGTATACAGGTCGTCTATTCGAAAGCTTCCAGGTGTCCAACATTATGTCAGGGTCCTTCCCTCTATAGTCCCAGATCCCAGACTGAAGTGCAGATAGAGGCAGGGCCTGGTGGAAACCTAGGAACCTAGAGGCCATAACGGGGGCAAGCATCCTCCTTCCTCAGTAGATGCTGACCCATTCCCTCGTCTGCTCAGGCAGTGTGGGGACCCCTGGGGTATTGATTAAGAGGCAGGATCTTGAGCTCCATTTCTTTTGTAGCTGGAGACTGCTCTGCTCCACAGTAGGAATGGGGAATGGACACAGGGACACTTCCTGTATTTAGCAGGTGGTGCGTGCAAAGGCCCACACCCCCATAACCAAGGCTCAGGGACAGACTAGGGTAGGGCCAAGAGGTGAGAGAGCACAGCTGGTGGCTGCTGCCTCCCTCCCTCCCACCCACCCCGTTTTGCCTGCCTGGGCAGCTGGGAGAAGTTTGGGTCTGGTGGGGATTAGCAGGAGAGCTGCAGCCAGGGCCTGTGTCGTCCAAGAATGCGGATCTGGGTGTAGCTAAGCAGAGGAGCCTAACTGCAGTCTCAGCATACAGCTGAGAATTAATACATCCCCGCTGCTGAGGGAGGTGATGGAGGTGGGGCTGCCGTGCTACGGGCTCTCAGCCCCCCAGAAGCCACCACTGAGCTGCTCTAGCCTTTTGGGGGACGGAGGCTCCAGTTCCGCATCTAGAGCCACAGACCAGAAGCCTGACGCGGGGACTGTCCCAAGGCTCTCCTCTCTGAGGAGCCACCAGGACTTCACCAATGAAAATTCTCACATTTACAGCAAAGGAATAATTTGTCCTGGGAAAGCCACACATCCACGTGTACCCTCAGAGGTCTAGGAATGAAGTGTCTGACAGGAAGTCTCAGTGTCCCTGGAAAAGTGACCAGGCCAAAGTCTGGGGTCTTTGGCTAGACCACTAGGCTCTGGCTAGATTGCCATGGGCCTTCCCTGGGCTGAGCTTGTTCCCAGGGAAACTGACCAGGATGGTGATCATGGGGAGGAGTAGGGCAGGGATGGAATGGGTGGGATGGAGGAGGTGTGGAAGGTCCCCAGAACAAAGACCTCTTACTCCTGGGGAGAGGCTCTTCTCTCCAGAGAGTGCTAGACTTTGAGGCCAAGTGACTTTCAGGGGGGGCCCTCTTCTCTACTCTTTGGGGCTTCTAGGAGTGGCTCCCACATGGGAATGGAACATAGGACTCTTCTGTGTGGGTTTTCTGCTGGGGAACTTGCTGTGGTCCTCCTGCTTTCTTCTCTTTGTGCTTTCAAGTGGCTGAGCCCAGCTTCTCAGGGGACACCCTGCTCCATTGCCCTCGTAATGCTCGATATCCTAGAGAGCCAGCTGCTCTCTGACACTCGGTGTCCTCAGGGACGCCAGATCTAATAGGAACATGGGTCAGGCACACAGGGGAATCACTTCCTAAATGGGGCTCTCTGGAAGGATTCCCCACTTTCTCCTCGTTCCTTTAGGTCTAATCTCATTACTTCTGGACCTGGTACGACTTGTTTCCTCAAGGCCTGGACAGCTGAGCACATCTCTATATCACCTCCTCAGAAACCCAGTTTCTTCCACAGGCAAAAATGGACAGTCTCTGATATGAAGTCCCCCAAATGAAAAAGGAAGCGAGCAGCAGAGCCCTTCCTCTGAGACCCATGCAGTCATTTTAATAATGTTCCCGTTGTGCTAAGGGCTAGCAATACTGAGCATAATCTATTCAAATGCACAGGAGAATCTCACTTTGGAAAATTAGGAACCTGCATTAAAAAATTCCCAAGCCCCGGACCTTCTTTATAATAAATTAGAATTTTTTTTTTCGAGGCAAGTTCTTAAGTTGGCAATTTCATTTTTGAAGTTTGGGGAATAAAGTTATTAAAAATGAGGGAGGCTTTTTTTTCTTCCCATTTCAGTAGAGAAGTGTTAATGGTTATGGCCCCATGCTGTTTGGGCACAAGCCAAGCGTTATGATGGCCAAGCAGCTTCCGGCCCCTTGGTTTTGTTTCAGCCCATCTTGGGGAAACTCCGTGATTACTTGTAAGGATGTCACTCTGTGTTTATTGTGCACTAAAGAAAGACCGTAAGTTTAGAAACTGCAAAAGCAACAACCCACTGGAACCCTTCTGGTGGCCTGCTTCCTCCTTCTGGTGGCTTCCTGTTAAATTCTGTTGAGGTCGCAGCACCCTCTGCTGTCTAACTGCAGTACCTCAATTCTGCATGCTGTAGCTGAGCCCTTGATCCAGACCCCTACTTTAGGCCCTGAGAGGCAAGGGCAAGTCATCGGGATCAAGGAATTCTACAACGGTTGTTTAATGAAAACATTGTCTCCAGGGAGACCTGGATGTGAAAGAGGTGTGTGGTCCCTCCGTTCAACAGAGTGTGTGAATTCCTACATCACCCTCCTTCCATTCTGCATCTTTGCCACAGCTGGCCATCTGTCACGTGGACTTTCACACCCCCCTCCTCCCACTGCCCCAGCACCCCTCTGATCCTAATGGAACTCTTGAATATGTTCTCCACTATTGCTCCCTCTCCCAGCACATGTCACTCCAGTCTCCCTCCCAGAATTTTTGTGGTGACACAAGCCCCCTCTCACTCCTTCTAGGCAGATACCCTTCACTTGTGTAGTCTCTTCACCTCTGAAATGTCATTCAAGTCCACCCATTTCCTGTAGCATTCCATATGCAACATCACCCACAGAGCAAAGTTCTCCCTTCTGTAGCTCCACCAGCAATTTCAGGACGCCATCTGGATTTTCTAGTGAAGCACAGCTTCTCCACCCTCACCTTACTACGCACGAGAACTCCTGCTATCAGCCACCTCTCGCCACTCTTCCTCAAACCTAGACACATACCTACCGTTCCACAAATGTCTTTGCCCTTGGCTTATAGGCGAGACAAATATTTTATCTGGTCTATTTATGCATGTATTCAATGTTTAGTATTCCTCTGTCTGCATGTCCCCACCATGTCAGGCTGCATAAGCATTTGACTAGAAAGCAGAAATCCCAGTGGGTCCTTGTCTGACCCACTAGGCACAGCCCCCTCTGAATGTGGGCACTCAATTAACAGTTCAGATTAGGAGAAAATTAATAGGTAGGTAGCGAGGTGCTTACGTAGGATGACTTGACGATGGGTGATATTAAAAGAGTTTGGCAATTCACCAAGGATGCAGCCTCATTATTGACCAGAGGGAGGCGAGACAGGCAAAGTCAGAACTCAGTACGGGAAGCTCACTTGGGAAGGAAGTCAAGCATTTGCTTGGGACCCTTTGGCAAAAGCTGTGTTTCTCCATCCTTCTCCATCTCCCTGCAACCCTCAGAGTCAGGAGAATGGCGTTCAGGACTCCGGGAAACTGCTTGGAGATCTGGGGTCAAGATGATGCTATTTCTCCTGTCCTGCAAGAGGAAGGCTAAGGCTGGGCCAGCCAGTCAGGGGAGGCCAGACCAGGCCAGACTGTCTCTCTTGTCCTCCGAGGATCTTCTTTCCCTCCCTGTCCTAGCGCTATTCT